GTTATTTTGAAACCATTTATATTATTTCATAAAACACAATTTCTAAATGACGCCCAGTATATATTTTTTTTTATTAGTTAAAATTCTTATATCAATTTCGCTAAAAATTTATTGTGTAAAATGCGGATTCTAAATTTCTGTTAGTAACTCTATGAAGCAGGTTCGGATTTTGACCTTAGCAGTTATTGTCAATTTTTTCTAGCCGTTTAACAGAGTTATCAATGTATTTAAACAAAATTATTTAAGGCTAGCCTTATTCAATATAAATAGTGATAGCAGGTATTTGTCTTGTTGAATCCGAATTTGTTAATTGAATTCGGATTATTAACCGGATACATGAAAAAGGTTCCGAATTAATCCGAATCGCCTCTAACAAATAGGATCGAAAAAATTTAGCCAATGATTTAGTCGATAATTTAATTAATTATTCTTGTCAATATCTTGGCATTATGCATAGTCGTCATACAAGCCTCTAGGTGACAATTGTATGAGTAATTCCAAATTTGGAATTTGCATCTATTAAATATACACGATATTAACTTATGTAGCAGACAAATAGAAACTCAAATATACCAAATAACGTAAATATGGAACAAATCATCTGAAGCATCCGGATAGTTCTGGATAAGATCAATCAAGTCATGATTTTTCAACGAATTTATCATTTGAGTAGCAATTTTCATATTGTGGCATATTGTGGTTTAGTTGAAAGAATCACGGTAACGATAAAAGAATAAATCAAATCCAGGGAATTATGATCTGAGATCTGAATTAATAGCTGACTAATTATATTAACTATCATCACCATCACGTACATAGCCATTTAATGAATTCAGGATTTACACCTGTACACACTGTTCAACCAAATTAGTATTAATGCATATCTGATATATTACTTGGTGTTAAAAATACGTGCGTAATTTTATTTCAGGATTAATACTTTCCCTTTTTGATAAATGACTTTATTTTCAAATTTTCGATCTTTACTACCTATCGCTATCTCGGTTCTTTTTACAAATGTTGTTTCCGCTCATGAACATCATGAAACGAACGAAACTAATGACGGTAACGCTGCCTTGGAGCCTATCGATGGAATTCTTTTGGCCCATATTGCTTCAATGTTCTTAGCTTTTGGCATAATATTTCCTACTGGTATGCCAATTTATGAATATATATATATGTGTATATATTTTTTATTAACTATTAACCTTTCTCCATGCTGAGAAAGGTATGGTGCTGGGGCTTAGTAAGTCCCGTTGGCATGTTCCCGTACAGATAATCGGTTCTATTGTCGCCACAATTGGTTATTTTCTTGGTCATGCTCATGGTGGAAGGCAATTCTCCAGTAATAATATTCATACATTGTTTGCTCCTTATCTAATCTATCTTTTGATATGTCAAGTTGGTGTTGGTGTTTATTTAAAACTACATTTAACAATTGGTCCCAACAAATGGTTTCGGCCTTTATTCAAAAAATTTCATAAATTTGTTGGTATAGCTGTACCTGTTACAGGCTACATACAAATGGTGTTTGGTGTGATAACTACTAATGTATGGTGCAGGTACGTATTCAATTTGGGTACGATGTTTTTCGAAAATTCCAAATTTCTACTCATTTCCTTCCTAAATAATAGGGGTGAACATTTAGGGCAGTGCCTTGCACATTTCATTATGGGTTCTTCATTTATAGGATATGGTATCTTTTTAATTTTGATGTTAAGACTTGCCTCCGGATGGCTACAACGTAAAAGGAAATCTCAAGATTATTATGACAGTTGGACAATTATGGCTTGGGGATTTGTAAACACTTTCACTGAACATAGAGGTGATGTAAGTATTATTTAAAAAGATTTTTTTTTTTTAATCAGAAATGTTTCGATGTCTATTTGAAATTTTTTTTATTCTTATTCTTATTTGAAATTTTTTTTTATTCTTATTTGAAATGTTTTATTGTTTTTATTCTTGAATTTTGAAGGTTTGGTCCCATAGAGATCTACAGGTATGTTCATTCACTTATGATATATTCATTGATGAAAAGGCTATTAATATTTTTATAGCATACATCGTTAGGAATATTGTGGTGGGCTGGGGGTGCTGTCGGTGTTTACCTTTCCAGGAATGGCAAAAGAAACGTAATGCCGGCTATTGTAATTTTATTTACCGGTTATGCTATGAGTTCACATGCCCAGCCTTCTGAAATATCCACAAAGATTCATTCAATGTTTGGCTACGTGCTCATGGGTGCTGGTTTAGCAAGACTAGCTGAAATTTGTATATTCTCTGAAAAAACTTTGGTTCCTTTCAATTATGTGAGCCCTTATGTAAGTTATTGCAATATATATGTGTGTATATGTTGTAAATGGGAAGGATTTGGAATTTATTAGGATTTTAGATTAGGGTGTAGGTTTATATAAAATAAATTATACTCTAAATTATAATTTTATTAAGAAATTTCAAATCCATTTAAATTCCGTTCCCACCTACAATATATGTATATATTTTTATCACGTATTATTTGACTAATTTAACCAAATTTTCAATCTTAGATGTTAATGTTTTCAGGCCTTCTTTTCATGGGCGCGACTGTCGAACAGATTGCATTGCTAACACAACTCGGCATTGATCCATTCTCATATGCATTGGTTCTTGCGAGCACTGCATTTCTAATATTCCTTTTCACAAACTGTCTGATAGATTTATATTGGAGATCCGGTCAAAATGATGGTGAACCAATTGACAATAACAACATGATGACTCATATCCCGTTACCTTTAACAGATCCACATATTTCAAGTTCAAACTCTGAAGATGATCATGATGTACTATTTCAACGTGCTAAATCTAACGATGATGATTATGATTTACATAGTTTGTTAGTAAATAAATCATAAACTTTATCAACTTATTGAATTTTGGTATACTATCAACGATATCACCACAAACTAATACCCTAAGGTTATATTTCATTGTTGTATTGTCACAAACCATAAATCAAAAGTAATGCATACTATCCAATAAACGTTATTAAACTTCAGGCACTATATATTCATAATTGCGGATTTTTAAGCTTTATCTTTAGGTCAACCCGTTACTCATAATTTCTAAACCGCGAGTTAAAATATATATATTACACAATTGTTACATATATTAGTAAAATTTAAAAATAAAGTTTGCCGGTCGGAATATTATATACATTGGCTTTATAATTTCTGTGACTCGAATAACTCGAATAAACTTGAATAAATTAATGTTTCGTGTAGTTTTTGATTTTAGTTCATGAATCACGAGTTGACACAATCAAACCACTAGTCCAAGCGTATTTTGTTCTAAGTGCAAAATCTAAAATGCAAGTTTTTCTCTTTTTACTATACGATCCTCGGGATGTATTTAGAATCAATTGTATTTGCTCTAAAAATACAAAATTTTACTAAGTACAATAAATATTGAAAGGTGCCGATAATTAAGATTGAATCTTATACCGTATTTTCACGAAATAATGCATTTTGGCCTGAATTGAGCTTAATTCGGGCCATTGTTCGAAATAACGCGCATGCGCGTTATTTCGCGAAAATACGGTAAGAAGAAAAAGACAGCTCCAAGCAACATTCGGTCAAATCTTCCTAATTATATCACTAAATACATCTTTTCCCTAACTATATAAACTTAATCTTTATAAATACAGTATTTTGGTTGGTTTATCAAAGTTACAAGAGTTTCAAATATAAATTGAAGCTTATATATCAAATGGGATCTTTGCTGCCCTTCGAGATTTTCCGATCGGGCTAACGCGGAAAAACTTAGACCGTAATATCGGTTCTTATTCACACGTAATCATCCTATACTTTATTAATTCAATAGTTTTTTAAATAAACTATCGAATCAATAAAATAAAAGACGATTAACATGTGAATAAGAACCGGTAATCCGGTCTGAATTAGCCCGATCGGAAAATCTCGAAGAGCGATTTTCCTAGCAAAGCTCCCAAATATTTACCTATGTGTACTTTGTAGACAACCGAAACAAATTTAATAGACTTTGATACAAGAGATACATATACAATGAGTTATATTTATAAAAATTATTAACTTGCCTTTACATTTGTGTCAACTACGGTAAAAAAGTTGATAGCTTCTTGTACAATATTTTGAGATCTTCGCAAGTATTCCGTTTTCATACATTTTGTTGTTAGTGTCTAAAGAAATGGTTTTCTAGAATTTTATCTAATAAAAAAAAATATATACTGGGCGTCATTTAGAAATTGTGTTTTATGAAATAATATAAATGGTTTCAAAATAAC